ATTTTTCCCATGGCCCGCGCCGAAGGCCAGCACGGGTGAGCTGTTTGCAATCGCTGGCGAAGCCAGGCGGCTAATAGAGCCGTTGTATTATACCTCACATCGCTCTCTCAGCTCACTTTCAACCTTTTCTCACCCTGACATCTCACAGTTCAAGATGGATCTAACCAAATGGACACAGCAAACATGTCCGCCACTACCCCGTCGACATCCCACACGCCACCCCCTTCAACCGCTACCACCACATTGAACTCACAGACTTTGACCTCCTCATCGCCGACCTGCTCCAAGACTTTATGAACCCCTCCCCAGCAACTGCCTCCCTTTATGGCAGGCCCCTCACCCCATCGACAAGCATCCCTTGGCGTGTCACCTTGCGGGCCCTCCACCAAGTCGACCCGAAACGCCTCCACGCTATTGCTTCTCTGCACGAATCTTTGCTCAGCCGATCACCCCTTCAGCATAGGACTACGGCCAATTTCCGCCCTCCACCCGAAGATGAATCCATGTGGTATTTTGGCACCTACAAGAAGAAATGATCGCACCAAAACCCCCGCTCCGGACGGCCACCATCCCTTGGCGATATTCTGCTCTTCGCTTTCGAGAGGTACTACATCGAGCACGACCTCAACTCGTTCAGCACGTTTTGCCGCTCGCCTTATTTTGGCAGGATGGTTCATGACGTCAGGCCGAGGCCGGTTAAGGATACGAAGTGGGCGAGGGAGAGGTTCCTAGAGAGCCCTGCGATGACAAGATGGGATATCAAACCTTTAAGGGATGTCAACTCGCATCAACACGTCCAGGTGGAGGGGTGGAGGAGGGTGCTCAGACTGTGGGAAAGCATGCATGGAGCCTAACCGGGAGTGCGACAATTACGGCGAGGATCATGTCATGTCGGTTTGCAACATGCCGTGTGGTCACCGCGGGGGGTGGTCACCAGGTGAGTATGATGTATACTGGCACATGGTTGCAAGAGGCGAGCTTCCCGACAGGGATTCCATTCACGAGCCGGGGGAGAGCCACTCTGCGCCTGACTGTCCTAAGGCTAAGAATAACAGGTGTAAGTGTATGCCTTTTCCGGTTTATCACACGCGCCAAGAGGTGTACGGTGAAATGTCGTCCGGGGGTGTGGACATCCCGACCCGGGGGAGACATAAGGGGAATGCGATGATGTGTACTTATCGGTGTTGTATGTGCGGGATTAGGAACTCGCATGCGGGGAAGGATTGTAGGTTGAAACGGTGTAGGTGGGGAGGGGCGCATTTGGGGCAGGATCATGGGTGGAATCCGACTTGTCGGAAGGAGGGGTGTGATAGGTTTTTGTGTGGGGTTCATTGTCAGGGGTGTTTTGGGACGGAGAGGCTGTTTGATGAGAAAACGAGGAGGTGTTGGAGGTCTAGAGGGTTGGAGGAGAGGTTGGAGGAGAGGCCGGAGGTGTGGGGGAGGAGGGGGTGGGAGTGGAAAGGTGGAGGTGGCTAGGAGATTTTTTGCGGGTGGTTTAGGTGATGGATCGAAGGTGGAGGAGGAGGTGAAAGAGAAGGATGGACCACGAGTATGGCTAACCAAGGCGCGGTATGAGGCGGTGGAGGAGGGCAAGCAGGCTCACGGGACGGGTATCAGAGCATATTTGGGGGTGGAAGTAGTCGGGGTGATGCGTGTCCGTGTAGGGGGCCTGTTAAACCGGAGAGCTGCTCGGTCTAAGAACACAGAGAGGTGAGATCTAAAAGGTGTGAAAAGAGCTAGAGATACAGAATTGACGGTCTTTGAAGATTAGAATAGACCGCCGTGTATAGAGATTGCATGAATCTCCTGCACCATACGATTGTGTCTTCAATGGAAGTCTTAATTTTACCATCCGCCAACTGGGACACCTTCCCACCTCTCTTTTGTGTGATGCAGGCGACTCGAGGTAAGGTACCTTACTCTAGACAGTGAACTTGCACATTACCTCATCGCCGAACCGCCAACAATATGCATCACAGAAAGCATGCTTGTGACATTTTTCTCGCAAAATATGTACATCTCAGAACTAGCTACATAAAACCCACCCCTTTTTCCACGATCCCCCTTTTCCCACCTTCACATCATCTCCCACCCTAGTTATTGTCCCTCCTCGAGTCAGGTTCATTAGGATAAGGCACCCCCTCCACACCAGCCTCCCTCACAGTAATAGCAGAAGACCCGCTACTCCCATACCCCTCGGTAGCCAAAATCATGTAATCATGCGTCCCCAACTTGAGGTTACTCCTCTCCCAAGCAGCAAAGTGATTCGCCACCGTGATCGTCCCGCCCACCCGGTGATTCCTCCTCACAGACCAGAACTGGTAAAACGTCGCCCTCCCAACAATAGAAGGCTGGTTCACCCGCTGAGTGCGGTAAATATCGTAATCACTCCCGTCACTGTTGACTGTGCCGAGACGGGAGGTCCCGCTGCTGGGGTTGTAGGAACCGTAGCTCTCGACGATGTAGTACTCGATGAGCGCGTTCTTTGTCCAGCCGTAGAGGGCGAGGTACGAGTTCACGTTGCGGCCGGACCAGGTGCCGTTGTATTGGACCACTTTGGGCCCGCCGGGGTTCCAGCCTTTGCCGCCGACCCAGTTGCCTACGTTGGTCCAGGTGGCGGTGTAAGTACCGTTGGGCTGGTTGCGGTAGTCGACGGTGCCGCGGCCGTCGGACCAGTAGGAGTAGAAGTAGCCGCTGTGGAAGCCGTTGCCTTCGGGGTCGCCTCGGGCGGTGCGGCGGTCGGAAGAGTGGAGCTTGGAGCCGAGGTCGAGGGAGCGGCCGAAGAGTTGTTCGTCTAGGGGGATGGCGGCGGCGAGGGTGGCGGCGAGGCCGGTGAGGAGGAGGGAGAAACGCATGGTGATGGATGGGGGGGGAAAGCTGTGAGGCGAACAGCGGTGGGATGTTCTGATTTGGTAGCCCGAAGGATTGGGAAAAAGGGAAAGTTTATATACCTAAGCAAGGAGAGTTGAGGCTTTCGGCATTTGGTCTTGCAATAACATACCTCCCGGTCACCCGACATGGAGATTTAGATGATGCAAGTCCGGGTATACCACGTCGGGGATTTTATCCTCGCGGCTAAAGCCGCAGTATGTTTATTGTAAAGACGTGTACCCGCGAGCTATGGTGATCTGCTGGCGCCCCGATATTTGTTTTTCTGATGCCAATGCCTCTGGAAAGTTGGGCGGCTAGGAGGGACGTTTCCTATTGACGCGGCTGACAGCAGCTCGGGTGTGCGGACGTTTGTGGTTTCTCAGCAGTGATATAACCCAAATGTAGGTACATGAACCACTAGAAATGACCGGCTTTAAGCTGGGTAAAGCCGACAGTAAGCTGAGACCGAAGGTAAGTTGGCTGCGAGTTGAGATGGGCGCGAGAGGGAGCTCAAATCGAGTTGGGCGTAAGTTGCGATCCAATCGGGTTGAAGTCGAGATCAAATGCAAAAAGATGTATGGCAAGATGATTAATTCCCTTCCATACTAGGGATGTAGCCATAAAAGTCCTAATTCTAGAGCCCTTGATACCTAGCATGATGTGATTGATCCCTACTAATATCTCTCGTCAAGGTGGTACCCAGACCACTCATACTCATCAACGTCCTTGTAGAAATCTTCTTGGATGGGCAAAATGAAAGCCTTCTTTTCTCTCTCCTCTTCCTCGGCATAAGGGGGATAACCTGGCTCTTGAAGATAATGATCGAAAATCTCCTCCCACGTCATATTCGGGAAGTCACGCCGCAAATCCCATTCAATCAGCGGGGAGTCCCGTTCCTCGTACTTGACCCCAGTGCCCCTCTTCACAACGACCATCAGTTCTTTCTTTTTCTCATCTCCAGACATGAGTTCGGGGTCCTCATGAAATTCATTCGGTTGCAGATCTTGGCCGCAGTGCGGTTTTTGTTCGAATATCACCCGCTTGTTGGGGTCTAGGATCGAACCATATTGGGCTGGTTCCTTAGCTCTGTAGATTGTCGCGGAAGGACCCGAGGCTACACCGTCACGATCTTCCAAGACACCTTGCCAGTGCTTTGGCTGTGACTTCCTGCAGTACTGGGGATTGCCTCCCAACCCTGGGCCGTAGGGCCCGTATCCTGACGCGAATCCGAGCATCTTTGAGCTGTGGGAGATGTAGCGCAATGTTTTCCATCCATTGCCGTCCTTGATGAGATCGTCGAGCGTGTCATAGCTGAGCGGAAATAAACGGGCACCGAGGACCGTGAGCTGGTCGAGCTGAAGGCCTGGAAGGAGCTTGAAATAAGAGGTTAGGAGATAATAGCGGCCGTCGTCAGGGTCACCCAGCTCAAGTAAAGCATTATCACTAACTCTGAGGTGCCGCAACTTTGAAAGTGTATCTACGGGTAGCACAGAAAGCCGGTCCATCATTGACTTGGTGTCTTGGAAGCAAAACAGGACGTGGCGTAGCCATGAGTCGCCAATCTCGAGCTGTGCTCGACGACAGGTGCGAAGCATCGCAAGGCCACTCGGTGTAGGCTTGATGTGCTTGCAGTCACGGGAGTCCGGGCCTTCCCACAATCCAAAAGTGAACCTCGTAGAACAGAAGAGCTGAGTCCAGATGTGATCTCGCATTTCTTGCGGCAGTCTTCGGAAGAACAAGCTTTCTCCTTGCGGATGCATCTTGTTCTTCTCGGCCATGGTGATGGATTTCTGCTGGATGTAGAGACGAAGGTCGTGTAATGCAATTTGTGGTGCATTGTGCGAAGTGCTAAGTGCTAAGAAAGAAAGCAGAGAGGTGGCGACTACTTACCTGGGTGGTGTCGAACTTTTTGATGGCTGAACCGGGCTGAAGTTTGCTTGCCCTTAGGTCGTCAGGTTATCATGTGTGGACAGAACCTAGATAAGGAAACTGGGACTTGGAACAAAATAACGACTCTAAAAAATCAACGATAACCGCCGAAAGATAGTAATAAAACGGCCTTTGAATATAGGTAGCCAAGTCGAAGGGCTTGGAGCTGGTATCGAGACCTTCTTGGTCATTAATGAAGAGGGTCAATTGAAGCCCAACATTATCTCTCGACGTATTTTTTTTGGGTCCACAGTTAGTCTTGGATACCGTGTGCTCATGTTTGGTGATTGCACATTAGGTTCAGCCTGCCCGTTCAGCCATACTGAGGCAACATCTCAGGGCAGGCCCCACCAACTGCTAGCGGGTGATCGCCGCCCCCCACCAAACGGGCCGCTCTCTTGGCGTGCGGACGGAATCACTGACAGCCTTGGGTTCCCTGTCGACGAAAAACATCAACTCATTATTTTCATGTCATCATCTCTATCGTTCTATATACAAACTATGCTTGTGTTTTCTCGCTCAAGTTGATCATGCAAACTCCTTCACCCCATCAACCCCTACCCTCTTCTTCCCCGACTGTCCCACGATGTTCCCAAACGCGTACTGCATCCCCATCTCCCTCACCTTCCGATCGCGTTCCTTCTTGGGAACCTGGCTCAACCCTTCCAAACTCCACAACATCCACGAATCGCACACATAATACATTGCTCCCGCAATCGTGCTAGGGTCAACAGGCATGTGCGGCCATTTGATAAAAAAGCTGGCAGCGACGACAATCCACATGATGGCCATGATGGCGACCGCCAGCCAGGTACACACCCGCGATGCAATCCACGTCTGCGTGACACGGAACGGCACGTTGTTCAGTAGGATGGGAAGGAATTCGGACAAGATTGCGACAAAGGCAACGACAATGAGGAAGATGTGCCGGCGTTTGATTGCGCTCCAGATGCCGGAAAAGGCGTTCATTGGCGGAGACAAAGTGATGGATTGATGGGCCGGCCGAGGGAATTGAGACATGAGCTGGTACGGGCTGAGAATAGCCAGGCCTAAACAGATGAACAGGTCAGTGAGTTTTTCCCATGCGGAGATGTCACAAAAATGCTTACTCGTGAAAAAGGCACTCCAAAACAAGGTTATCCCAACACCCATCAACGTGAACAACGACCTCACGCCAAAGTTTTGGGTGCTCATGAACCGTTCGAAGCCCGTGTCACCACCGGTGTTGTTGTAGTATAACACAACAGCCATGATCCCGGTCAAGGGAAGCAGAAATGCAATCCTACCACTGTATGACAGCATCAGGAACGGCAGGTGGCGCTCGGCCTTTGCGTTGGAGTTTTGACCCTCGAGCAACTCGTGTTGAGGGGAGGTCGTGTCTGTGCTGACAGAATCCGGTCGGTCTGGACGAACAATAGTGACGTTTGCCCTACTGGCCATGACGCCGTATTCTGGGATACCATAGTGGTTGAAGAAGTGGCCCAGTCTGAACGTCCTGTCACCAAAGCCGTTCACCAGTTTGTCGTGACTAAGTCCTTTCCTCTTGTCGGGAGGAAGGGAGCAGAATGCAGCGCGGGTTTCCCTGTTGGTAGCCAGTGAACCCATGCCAGCAATGGTCCACGGATTGGCTGCTACGCCAGTGCGCCATTTGCGGAGCACGATCATGATCAAGATCAGGAGGACGACCATGAAGCTGAGCAGGGCGGTTGTCGCTCGGGCCGGACCGAGGAAGACCCCCAAGGTCATGGCACAGCCATTGAAGTTGGTGGGCGTACAGCTGCCATGCAGCTTCAACGCCACTGCCTCAGAGGACAACGGCACCAAGAATACGGAGGCAATCGTCAACAATGTCGTCAAGACCATCAACATCTGACCTGTCGCCATCGCTCTGAAGCTGGACACGATCCCATGAAACCCTCCTGTTCGCAAGCATAACGACTCCTCAGCGGGGACGCCCATGCGTTGTGTCAAGGCGTGCCAGGGCTGATATTGCTTCGCGGCCATGTCAATCATGCGGATGGGGATGGTGAGCATGACTGCCAGGATTGTTGGCAAAAAGAATCCGACAAAATATTGGGCCCTAGAGATGAAGTAGACTGAGACCTCTGCTTGGGGCTTTGGGGTATCAGTGGGGACGGTTGGGAACTCGGTGATGGTGGCTGTTGGGACTCCCTGGAAGTTGGTAACGACCTTGGTTCTCGGCGGTACCACCACGTCTGTGGTAACTGTCAGTGTCGGAACACCTCTCGAGTCGGTCACCGTGATAACTTCAGGAGAAAAGACAGGTGGAGGAGTGTTGATGACTGTGACGGTCGGGGTCCCGTCATCATCACTCAAGATCTCAACAGACAGCGTCACAAACGATGGTGACACGGCTGTAACAACATTGAAGATTGTCGTTGGTGATGGCACCAACGTCACAACTTGGTCGACGGTCCGGGTCTCAGTGAAGGAGAGGACAAGGCCGCTCTCGGTTGTGACCCCTATCACTGTTGTTGTCGCTGGTACTCCGATGATGGTGGTCTCTTTTGTCACGGTTGATACAACCTCGTCCAGAGTGGTGGAGGGAAGGACGATGCCGATGAAGCCGGCGGGGTTGGCATCTGGGGCGGCCTCGGTGATGGTTTGGGTGCCGTCTTGGCCGAACTTGCCGCTGTCGCCGATGGCGGGCTGGGTGCCGGTATCTGCAAAGTTGCTTGATGGTTGCGTGAGGGGGGGTTCTGTAGCGGTAGATTCAGACCTTAACGGGTTGGGCCTGCCGTCGGTTGCTGCGGCCGTTGTGGGAGATGACCCAACTGCTACGGTTCCGATCTGTGCAAAGTCTCCCGGTACTACTTGCGAAGTTGAGTATGGCAAATCAGTGGATATCGTAATCGGGACCACCGTGTTCGCTGGAGAATTGGCGGGTGCGTTGTCTCTCTCGTCATCCAACGTTGCGTTCTGTAACAGTCGTCTCGATAATTGCAATCTCGGCTTCAGCAACGGAGGGTTGTCGATGCCTGTCGGCGTGCTGTTGACGTTGCTCGTCGGGCTCGGCTTGGGCTCTGGTATGATCCTCCTGTCTTGCTCCGTAGGCAGGAACTGGCATGCACACTCGAGCAACACGATACAGACCAGCAGCAAGACGATCAGTATCACCAGGAACGATCTTCTCAACGGCGTCGGCTTGTAATCTGGTGGCGAGATCCGGCGCAGGGACGCCATTCTCCGGGGAGCCATGTTGGCTGGTTTCGCCCGAACCTCGGGCATAAAGTCTCTTTCATAGTCTCTCCAACTGCCCGCTTGGCTGAGCGGAGATGGTTGTGTCAGGACCACGGGGGCGTCTCCTGTCCGCCATGACCGACGAGAAGGGTCCTGAAACATCTTGTCGCTGTCGTCTCACCCCCTATGCCTCGGTTGGAATCGGAATCATGAGAATATTGAGCAGGTCATGATTTTGTCGGACAGTTTTGATGCTGCATTCCGCGCACAACGCTTCGAGAGGAATAACCGTCAGAATATCGAGCGGCAGTGCACTGAAGGGGTATATACCAGCCAGACCGTCTGGACCCATATCTTCTGCCTCTCCCCGCATTACACTAGACCCATTCTCACCGGACTTCTTCTAGGACACCCAAGACATATTGCTAACTGTCAGCAGCATACAACCGATGTGGCGATCTCGACGGCAAGGGAAGACTACAAGCCGAAGTCCCCGCATTATTGGCTTGTGCCGCTGTGTGGTCCAGAAGCGAAGGGCTTGCCGTTTCGGCATTCCAGTGGCGCACACCAGTCTCGGTGCTGGATGGCACCCATTTCGAGAGTCTCCTTCCGCAAGCTGAAAGTGCGTCCTATCAGCTAAGCCAATCGAAGAAGCTGCCCCCACTACTGACAGGCAGATCGCGGACCAGATGACCCGTCTGGCCGGCCTATCTGATGTTGTCGGTTTTTGTGGCTGTTGTAGGTAGGTGTGGTGTGGGTGTGGTGGTTAATGCTAACTTTAGTACCCCGCATTGATCGCCATTCTGCTGGATGCTACCACGGAGCCTACGATGGGGGTGTCGTCTTGCCCGTCTTGTCAAAAAGTGTGGCATCCCGAACCAAAGCACGCAAGCAATTGGGCGGATACTGTCCGACCAGGGTAGCATCCATTCTGAAACCTGACGCCCGCGTGCTCATGGCTCGGCAGTGGCAGAGCTCGCTTCAGATTGAGTAAGGTAGGCTTTACTTCGGCATCAGTGGCTCGGTGCTACCTTCTGGATCGGCGCGGAATATTCGGGACGTTCTATCGACCTGCTGAAACGGTCTATTAGATACGCTATTGGGGGGCTTGCCAAGACTGAGAGGGTTTTCTACTTTAGCTTGTGCTCCCCCCCACCATGTGGAATGGTTTTGGGTGGTTGTTGGGTTGAAAGGTGTCCTTAATTGATTTTGTGATACCGCTTTTGGGGGGAGGTGTTGGTGTTGTCGTCGTCATCTTGGGGGGTTTGTTCGGCACCGAGGAGGTTAGTGATGGTCTATTCATGGCTCACGGCAGGAATAAGCTGGAGGAGGTGAATGTGTCGAGTGAGACCTTTGCACGATCGGGGCCCCCCTTGGGATCGATCCGGTTGCCCACTTGCCCCGACGTCCACCGCCTGTATCGGTCGACGTCAGACTTTCTCTTCATGGAATCCAGCAGCGAGAACGTAATGGAGGAAACTGACATTTCATGTTGGCAAGCCCACTGCATGCAGTAGGTGTTGATGCAATCTGTAATCAAGATCTGCTCGCTTTTCAACCGTATCGTGATTGGCTCTTCCTTGCTGCATGGAGGCCTGAGGCTTCACCATACAGGTGCGGCTTTTCAGCTCCTCCATGTCAGTTGACTGTCTGCTCGCTGAGCCACAATCTGTCTTGTAATAGCAGGTACCTTTTGTTGAAACCGAGATGAAGAGTCCTTGATTCTCCACTGCCTTGACGGGAGAGGTGACATGGACACATTGCTACCAAACTTCCCAATTCAAGGGGTTTAAGAGGTCATGTAGGTAGATTAGGTAGCTATAGTTTCTGCCACGGGACTCATGGTACGTTTTCCACGTCTTAATACATCAACATCTTTTAGAGCCGTGCGAACATGTGTTCAAAGGCATACCCAATTGCACCCTCGTCAGGCCCTCCCGCTCGGTAAGGGGCAAATGATGTTGCAATGGTTCTCCTCATAGAACTGGAGAGAATGAAACCTGCCAGAATTGAGATAAAGAGAATAATGGAGCAACGCACCACAAAATTCATCCTTATGAAGCGGGAAGTTGTTATAACCACTCGGGCTGGGATGCGAAACAAGGCGTTATCATGCTCCTGTAGGGGTGTTGAGGAATATCGATTGCCGACCAGGACACCCTGCCTTTCCTCGTTCCCTTCCACATTTAACTCGACATTAATTTCATCATTATCCTGGTCCTCTGTTCTAGTTGGCATCGGAGACTCGGAAAGGCCAAGGCCATCGAACTTTTTGGGATGATCTAGAGTACTATGTTAGGCGCTGAGGAAGATAAATCACTGATGAGTGGGCGGTGCGTACAGGTCTTCCTGGGTTTCCGACCACTTGGGCGTTTGAGCTTGGCGGAGAGGCGACGCATGGTAGGATTGAGAAATTGGTGAGCTCAACCGCCTGCTTGTGGGTATGTTCTGAGATTCGCAGAGTAATTCTGCCGTATCTTATATGGCATTACACAGTGTCAGAAGCTGGAAAAATTCTCCACTGGCTGGCTCGATTGTTCGGGTTCAAAATGAAACGGTTTGGGTACTCACCCATCCCAAAGCTTAGGTAGCTGCTTCAGTCAGGTAGACTTGCTTGGCACCGATGCTGTGAGTGGTGCAAGGAGGTCAACCCTCTCAGCTGAGAGGGAGGGGCTTCTTGCAATACCTAGTTTGGTTAGACGGCTAATGGAAGCCAGAAGTTGAGAGCCTCCTGTGGCTGGGCATCTATGCGCTTCTGAAGGATCTCTCATTAGATGATCATGAAGTGGCTCTTGCACCAAAACTTGGCTGACCGGTGGATCGAAGCCAGGAAACCGGCCCCCTGGAGCGCCCAATGGGATCAAGATAGGTTTGGGCAGAACGAATCTCCCTCCTGTAGCTTCGCCCGAGAGGACTTGAAGCCGACTGTGGCGATTACCTTCGTCGACATGACGGGCACCACTGGGACTTGGTGAAGACGTGATTCTTGTTCATATTCTAGTCCACGCCTTCCAGATTGCAGTCATCATCACCTATAGATACGCGGTTTCAGGCCCTCACGCGTCCGCCGCCCTCCTGCTCACCACACCACCTGCCGCCCGCACCGCACTGCACCACCGCACCACCGCACCGCACCGCACCATGCCCGGACTTCGCAAGGAAGGATGGCGCAACTGCAAGACTCGATTACAGTCGCAGCTGTCGAGCACGCTGAGCGGAGTGCTCTGAACAGTGCAGAGCTACGTGCAAACGTGCGGAATGTGCAACAGCTGATCTAGCAAGACCGGCCAAAGAACACCACCATTGCGTACGAGCCAAAAAAGCGAGAGTTCTAGGAGTTCTGTGCTTCTAAGCAGTATCACGATCGTGATACTGTTACAGAAGATAAGCTTCTCCTCTTCCTTGTCGAGCGTGTGGTACGGCGGCCGCTTAGAGGCAAGAGCTCCAAAACAGCCCCTGAGGCCCCCCGAACGGCTACTCGACTGGCATGGCAATCGGTCCGGAGCTACGTTACAGCTATCACCGACCTGTACTGCACCCAGAAGGCTCTAGGGATGAACAGCCATCCGTCTCCCCGTGAGCATAGCGTACGGGATTACATCAAGTCATTGCAACGCCGAGATGCTGCACGGGATAAGGCCAACTACGCTGATAAAGGCCGTGATACCCTTCTTGATGGGTATACAGAGCCCCAGCTTTTACGGTCTGTCAGGAGGTTTGGGCACAGACTGGCGAATCGCCCGAGTGCCACCTCCGTGCAATTGTCGATATCCTTCTCAGTCACCATATGCTGACTCGCGGTGGTGATTGTCGGGCTTTAGAGCTCTCAGATCTCTTTACTTTTGAGTTTGTCGGAGAGGGCCCTACCCGTTGTATGCCGCCAATTATGACGACACGTGCTGGCAAGCAGAACCAGCGCGGCCTGCTCGAGACTGCTGGCGCCTTACGGAATCGGAATCCTCAGTTTTGCCTGTTAGGCGCGGTAGCTTTCTACCTTCTTTTCTGCTGGAATCTTGGCAACGAGCCTTTTCCAGACTTCAGCCAACGCTCTATCTGGTACGACATCCGACTGATTAAAGGCAACAGCAACAGCTCAGATCGTACGAAACCTTTTTCGTACAATTCGTAACGTGAGTGGGTTGTCAAAGCCTTCTCATACGCCGAGATCGCCTCCAACAAGAAGACCCATCTTAGCCGCAGTTCAGGGGCTAAGACGGCCGAGCTAAAGGGAGTTTCTGAGGACCAGATTCGCCGAGCTGGCCGTTAGAACCAGGAGCAAATGGTCGGCTGTTATCTGAATCGTTGCCTCGAGAGTTTATGCGTACTATGGCCGGCCACCCAAAGCAGATTGGGTGTTTTGAGATCCGCCGTGCCAACCTTGTACCGCCACCTGAGCTTCTGTCAATGATATGGCCAGAGCTTGGCTAGGGGGAGGCCGGTTTGGATCTAGCCCTGGGTATATCAACGACCTTGCAGCAATGGGTTTGATAAACTTGCTCTTCTACCTACGTGAGGTAGTGTTGAATTGGTCACTTGCACGGTTAATAGCGGTTGATTGCGCTGTATTGTGTTCTGTCTCTCTGGATCGCGCTCACCAGATTCCTCTGGATCTTGGTTCTGCTGGCGCGTGTGCCACCCCCTGTGGTGGATCCTCGCCACAGCCATGGGTCTCTCCACCACGGCTTGGCGTGTGGATAATCTGACAGGTAGGTCTTCAGGACTCAGCGTTCCTTATGCTGAGATATCCAAGGAGCCCAGTCTGGCTCCATCCAGTCTTTTAGCATAAAGCATATCTCCAATACGCACAAGAGATCCTGACCTTTACGCAAGAAGAGGAGAGGCCAAGTCAGCTAGCAGTTTTGACACAGGCTATGCCAGTTTTCTCTGATTTCCTCCAGTGGATCGATAAACGGAACGAGGCACGGATTGTTCAACTGGATCAAAAGCTTGAGAAGACACTTGATAGCCAGTCACAACAAGGCTCCCATATTCTATCGCTGCTCTCAAACGGTCTGACAGTTCACATTAAAGCAACCAATACAGGCTCAGACGGCACGATGGTGGTTGCTATTACAGCTACCACAGGACCACCCCTTGCAGAACCGGCTAGCCTACCTACTGCAGCACTGGCAAGCCCACCCACTGCAGGGCTACCGCAGGAT